CAAACCCCCCGAGCCCCCTCCCCACCTGCAGGGGGGTGAAGGCCACGCTCGAGGCCGTGCCCGAGCTCCGGTCCCGGATCGTGGATTTGCCGCCGTACACCACGCTCTGCTTCTGCAGCGTCCTCTGGGGAGCGATAATTAGCGGTTAACGACGCTAATTAGGGGCGGAAGGAGTTAATTAAGCCGAAGGGGGGCTCAGGCACCTGCAGGGTTTTGCTGATCCGGGCCTTGGTGGCCTCGTTGACCTGGGTCTGGCGCACGCGGCCGCTGCCGGCCTTGCCCAGGTGGCCCAGGCTGAAGCCCAGGTCCTCCTGGTAGGCGTCCTCCTCGATCTGAGGGGAAAACGGGGGGGAAAATGAGAAAAATGGGAAAAAATGAGTGAAAAATGGGATTTGGGGGGGTTAAAATGGGGTTAAACGTGGGAAGAATGGGGTATAGGGGTCCCAGGAGGCCCAGGCTGAAGCCCAGGTCCTCCTGGTAGGCGTCCTCCTCGATCTGAGGGGAAAACGGGGAGAAAAATGAGAAAAATGGGAAAAAATGAGTGAAAAATGGGATTTGGGGGGTTAAAATGGGGTTAAACGTGGGAAGAATGGGGTATAGGGGTCCCAGGAGGCCCAGGCTGAAGCCCAGGTCCTCCTGGTAGGCGTCCTCATCAATCTGAGGGGAAAACGGGGAGAAAAATGAGAAAAATGGGAAAAAATGAGTGAAAAATGGGATTTGGGGGGTTAAAATGGGGTTAAACGTGGGAAGAATGGGGTATAGGGGTCCCAGGAGGCCCAGGCCGAAGCCCAGGTCCTCCTGGTAGGCATCCTCCTGGATCTGAGGGGAAAATGGGGTTAAAAGGGGGTAAAACAGGAAAAAATCGGTAAAAATGGGTAAAATAATGGGATTTGGGGGGGTTAAAATGGGGTTAAACATGGGAAAAATGGGGTTTAGGGGTCCTAGAAGGCCCAGGCCCTCCTGGTAGGCCTCTTCCTAGATCTGAGGGGAAATCAGTGAAAAATGGGATAAAAAATGGGAAAAATAGGTAAAATTTGATAAAAATAGGTAAAAGAATGTGATTTGGGGGTGTTCAAATGGGGTTTAATGAGGAAAATTTGGGTTAAAGAGAGGAAAAATTTGGTTTGGGGGTTACAGGCGGCCCAGACCAAAGGCCAGGTTTTCCTGGTAGGCCTCTTCCTTGAGATGAGGGAAAAATTGGATAAAAATTGGGAAAAATTGATAAAAGGAAAAATTGGGGTTAAAGGAGGAAAAATGGGGTTTAGGGGTCTCAGGAGGCCCAGGCCGAAGCCCAGGTCCTCCTGGTAGGCGTCCTCCTCGATCTGAGGGGAAAAAACACAGTTAAACATGGGTAAAACAGAAAAAAATAGGTAAAAATGGGTAAAATAATGGGATTTGGGGGGGTTAAAATGGGGTTAAAGGGGGAAAAATTGGGTTAAAGGAGGAAAAATGGGGTTTAGGGGTCTCAGGAGGCCCGGGCCGAAGCCCAGGTCCTCCTGGTAGGCCTCGTCCTAGATCTGAGGGAAAAACCGTAAAAAATGGGATAAAAAATGGGAAAAATAGGTAAAAATGGGTAAAATAATGGGATTTGGGGGGGTTAAAATGGGGTTAAAGGGGGAAAAATTGGGTTAAAGGAGGAAAAATGGGGTTTAGGGGTCTCAGGAGGCCCGGGCCGAAGCCCAGGTCCTCCTGGTAGGCCTCGTCCTAGATCTGAGGGAAAAACAGTAAAAAATGGGATAAAAAATGGGAAAAATAGGTAAAAATTGATAAAAATAGGTAAAAGAATGTGATTTGGGGGTGTTCAAATGGGGTTTAATGAGGAAAATTTGAGTTACAGAGAGGAAAAATTTGGTTTGGGGGTTACAGGTGGCCCAGACCAAAGGCCAGGTTTTCCTGGTAGGCCTCTTCCTTGAGCTGAGGGAAAAATTGGATAAAAAATGGGAAAAATTGGTAAAAACGGGTAAAAATGGGTGAAAATTGGTAAAATAGTGGGATTTGGTCATGCTAAAATGGGGTTTAATGAGGAAAATTTGGGTTAAAGAGAGGAAAAATTTGGTTTGGGGGTTGCAGGCGGCCCAGACCAAAGGCCAGGTTTTCCTGGTAGGCCTCTTCCTTGAGCTGAGGGAAAAATTGGATAAAAAATGGGAAAAATTGGTAAAAATGGGTGAAAAATACATAAAATAATGGGATTTTGGGGTATTGAAAAGGGGTTTAATGAGAAAAATTTGGGTTAAAGGGAGGAAAAATGAGGTTTGGGAGTCCCAGGAGGCCCGGGTCCCCCTGGTAAGGCCTCTTCTTTAATCTGAGGGGAAAACGGGATTAAAAATGGGAAAAACGGGAAAAAAACGAGTAAAACACGGGATTTTGGGTCCCAGGAAGGTAAAAAATGAGATTTGGGGAATTTAATTAGCATTAATTAGGGTTAATTACCTCCCCAAAGCTCATCCTGTTGGCCTGTTTGCGGATCTCCGTCAGCCCCAGGCGCTCCTTCATCTTCCGGTAGCTGCGTTAATTAGGGACTAATTAGGGGTTAATTAGGAGGTATTTAGGGGTTGATTACATGGTTAATTGGGGAGCAATTAAGGTGTTGATTGGGGGTTAATTGGGCGTAGCTACAGAGTTGATGTGGGGTTAATCGGGGACTAATTGGGGCTTAATCATTAAATAATCAGGGGGTAATCAAAGATTTTTTAGGGCTTAATTGGGGGGATTAATTAGGGTTTAATTGGGGGGATTAATTAGGGTTTAATTGGGGAGGGACTAATTGGGGCTTAATCATGAAATAATCAGGGGGTAATCAGAGATTAATTAGGGCTTAATTGGGGTTAACCAGCGATTAATTAGGGCTTAATCACAAAGTAATTAGGGGTTAATCAGGGATTAATTAGGTCTTGGTTGGGGATTAATCAGGGATTAATTGGGTCTTAATTAGGGATTAATTAGGGGCTAATCAGGGATTAGTTGGGGATTAATTAGGGGCTAATCAATGATTAGTTGGGCATTGATTAGGAGCTAATCAGGGATTAATGAGACATTAATCAGCCCTTCATTAAGGCACTAATTACAGCTGAATTGGGATTTACCTGGAGCCATACCTAGCGCTCAACCCGTGACTAACCAGCAGCTAATTAGAGACTAATTAGGGACTAATTAAGGCTAATTAACACTAATTAACTCACCGCCGGCCCCCCCTCTTCTTCCTCTGCCCGTCCAGCGGCGCCGGCAGCGGCTTCACCTGCTTGACCGGGGGCGGCTCCTGCCACTTGTCGAACTTGCGCTCGATCTCCTCCTTCAGCTCGATTAACTGGGGGTAAATCAGGGATTAACAACACCTTAATTAGCCCTTTATTAGAGCGTTAATTACAGCTGAACTGGGATTTACCTGGAACCTTGCTTAGCGCTCAACCCCTGACTAACCAGGAGCTAATTAAGGATTAATTAAGGCTAATTAACACTAATTAACTCACCGCCGGCCCCCCCTCTTCTTCCTCTGCCCGTCCAGCGGCGCCGGCAGCGGCTTCACCTGCTTGACCGGGGGCGGCTCCTGCCACTTGTCGAACTTGCGCTCGATCTCCTCCTTCAGCTCGTACCCCACCTGGAAATTTGGGAATTTTGGGGCAATTCCCAAAATTCTGGGGCAATTCCCAAAATTTTGGGGGATTTTTTGGGGATTTTTGTGGGATTTTAGGGGCTCCTGCCATTTGTCAAACTTGCGCTCGAGCTCCTCCTTCAGCTCGTACCCCACCTGGAATTCCTGGAATTTTTGGGAATTTTGGGACAATTCCCAAAATTCTGGGGGGATTTTGAGGGGATTTAGGCGGAATTTTGGCTTCTCCCACCTGCAGAACCCACTCTGCACCTCCTCCACCTCACACCCCACGTGGAATTTTGGGAATTTCGGGGTCCTGGAGTGGTTTGGGAGGTGCTGGAGGCGATTTGTGATAATTTTTGGGAGGATTTTGAGGGCATTTCGGAGGAATTTGGGAAATTTTAAGAGTCCCTCCCCCTGCAGACCCCACTCTGCACCTCCCACTTTGGGAATTTTGGGGCAATTCCCAAAATTCTGGGGCAATTCCCAAAATTTTGGGGGATTTTGTAGGGTTTTGAGGGATTTTTAGGGGGATTTTTGGGAAATTTTGGGGGATTTTAGGGGCTCCTGCCACTTGTCGAACTTGCGCTCGATCTCCTCCTTCAGCTCGTACCCCACCTGGAATTCCTGGAATTTTTGGGAATTTTGGGGCAATTCCCAACATTTTGGGGAAATTCCCAAAATTTTGGGGGATTTTGTTGGATTTTGAGGGATTTTTAGGGGGATTTTTGGGGAATTTTGGGGGGATTTTAGGGGGATTTATGGGGCTCCTGCCACTTGTCGAACTTGCACTCGATCTCCTCCTTCAGCTCGTACCCCACCTGGAATTTTGGGAATTTTTGGGGATTTTGGGGCAATTCCCAAAATTTTGGAGGATTTTGTTGGATTTTGAGGGATTTTTAGGGGGATTTTTGGGGAATTTTGGGGGATTTTAGGGGATTTTAGGGGCTCCTGCCACTTGTTGAACTTGCGCTCGAGCTCCTCCTTCAGCTCGTACCCCACCTGGAATTCCGGGAATTTTGGGGCAATTCCCAACATTTTTGGGCAATTCCCAAAATTGTGGGGGGATTTAGGAGGAATTTGGGAAATTTTAAGAGTCCTTCCCCCTGCAGAACCCACTCTGCACCTCCTCCACCTCACACCCCACGTGGAATTTTGGGAATTTCGGGGTCCTGGAGTGGTTTGGGAGGTGCTGGGGGGGATTTGGGAGAATTTTTGGGAGGATTTTGAGGGGATTTTGGAAGAATTTGGGAAATTTTAAGAGGCGATTTGTGATAATTTTTGGGAGGATTTTGAGGGCATTTCGGAAGAATTTGGGAAATTTTAAGGCTCCTCCCCCTGCAGACCCCACTCTGCACCTCCCACCCCACCTGGAACTCCCCAAACCCGAGCGGATTTCACAACTTTGGTGCCTCCCAGGACAACTTTAGGGTCCCCCCACCCCCTCCCAAAATAACTTTAGGGTC